AGGGATGGGCGTGGGCAGGGGTTGGCACGGGGTTGAAATGGCGGGGCAGGGGTTGGCACTGAGGTGAAATGGCAGGTGCAGGGGTGAAAAAGCTGGAACCTTCTCACCGATACTTTGCTGCACACCACCCAGGAACTATCTGCACTACAACGAGTCGGGAAGATAGAGCGGCACCAGGAGGAATTTGAGAGCACCTGGAACAACTACCTTAGGGCATCGCCCCATCAAGTTAATCATAGGATCATGTTGTATGCATGCCAATTGGCCTCTTGACTCAAAAGCTAACTAACACCATCATTTCAGCAAAGTTAAGTCCTGGTGGTGGAGGTGGAGATGCTGGCGACGACGGGGATGATGACAAGAAGGGTAAGGGTTCCATGAAGGGAGAAGACAGGTCTGAGGGAGGAGAACAAAGGGAAAAGATTAAGGTTAAGGTCCCTTGGACATACACTGGGAAGAGGGAGGAGAGTATTTTCCATTGGGAGGCGGAAACGGACATGTACCTGTACGCGCAGCTGATCCGGTAGTAGGACCGCGTACTTATGGCAAGTTCGTGCCTAGGGGGGTACGCAACTAGTTACGCTATTTCATTAGTGAAACCAGGCTGTACCTCGATGGTCCAGTACTCGCAGCGGACAAGGATCGAGGACTTCTTCAAGGGCTTGAAAGCCTGTTTTGAAGATAAGAACTTTCCACGTCGGACAGAGTACCTCGTCCTTAACATTAGTGACCGCAAGTGGAAGAGTGTGTAGGCACTCGAGGCCACTATGGACGAGCTGCTGCAATGTCATGATCATGGACTAACCCCTGCTCAGATCTTGAATAATTTTGCTAGAGCACTACCAGAACCCCTCAAGACCCAGTTATGAGAATTTTAGCAACATAGCTGTAGACCATGCCCGGTTCCTGCGAGAGGCAAACTATTGCCACTATTGGAAGGACCTGCAGGCCGGTAAGAGGTGGAGGAATAAAACTATATGCATCAGTATAGAGGGAAAAGATAACCTGCTCGCCACCTTCAGAGGGGGTGTAGAGTCTTTATCATATGACCAGATAGATTATGTTAAGATACCAACAGCCAAGTAGCCCAGGGAGGGGACTACGCGGCCGTTGCAGCCCGTGGGGCAGGGCAACAAGGTAGAGGTCGAGGTAGAGGAGGCCGAGGGCGAGGTGGAGGTCAAGGCGCCTCTGCCCAGAGGGGGGCTGGCGAAGGTAGCTACTACATGGGAGATAGGGGTTCTGGTCCCTCGCAAGGTGGTAGAAGTTCTGCCTTCATACGGGGTAGAGGCAGAGGTAGAAGTTAGCCCCGTACCAAGCACACCCGGGGATAGCTGAAGGCAAACCTTGGTAACAAATGGATATAGACCATACACGCGGCACATCGACATGTGCCGCAGAGCGCACGATGTGCACGCATGCCATTCAGCGCACGCCAAATACCAGGGGGGCACATTAAAAAACGAAAGTTCGGGGGAAGGGAGGGGGGTGTATGCCCCGTAGGGACTTTGCACTGCCAGTTACATAAAATAAATAAATCTTTGAGGCTGCAAAGGGCCCCACAAAAACAAAGAGCAGGGAGATCCTAGTAGTTCATTTTTAAACTTCTCGGACCTGCCCCAAGCCGGCCCCTAGCTGGGCAATCGACCTCGGTGCCCTAGCGGCACGCACTCCTTCACAGCCGGTGTGTCTCGCCTTCGCCGCAGTCGTCGTCATCTTCTCATGTGCCTTACAGCAGGAAGCAGCCCCCCACTTCGTCGTTCAGCCTTATCCTGCGCAGCTTCAAACAGCAGCACGAAGGAGCCGAGGGTCGCAGCAGCGGGAGGAGGCAAAGGAAGAAACGGCCATATCTAGGTGGGTTACCAACAGCCCCTCTCTCTCTCTCTCTCTCTCTCTCTCTCTCTCTCTCTCTCTCTCTCTCTCTCTCTCTCTCTCTCTCTCTCTCTCTCTCTCTGTGTGTGTGGAAACTGTGGGGCTCCTCCTCCCCGTTTCTCCCTCGTCATCATTCTTCTCCACCTCCCCCAAGGGTCACAGCAGCAGGAGGAGCCAAAGGAAGAAACGGCCATATCTAGGTGGGTTACCAACAGCCTCTCTCTCTCTCTCTCTCTGTGTGTGTGTGTGTGTGTGTGTGTGTGTGTGTGTGTGTGTGTGTGTGTGTGTGTGTGTGGAAACTGTGCAGCTCCTCCTCCTCCCCGTTTCTCCCTCATCATCATTCTTCTCCACCTCCCCCTTCCTCCCTCTTCGCCACAGCTCTCTTCCTCCCTCGCTTATCATGCTCCTCCCTCCTCATCATCGGTGGCCTCCTTCCGCCCTCCTCCTTCATCGCCGATGTCAACCACCCTCCTCCATCCTCCCTCCGCCCTTCTCCCTTCCTCCTCCTCCCTCGTTCTCGGTGTGCTCCTCCCTCCTTCATACTTCTCTTCCTCCCTCGCTTATCAAAATGCTCATCCACCCCTGCCCCTCGTCCCTCCTCCCTTGTCTCTCCTACCCCATCCCTCCTCCATCATCTTTCCTCCATCCCTCCCCATCGTTCTCCTCCTCCTTAATCCTCCATCGCCATCAATCTACTCTTCCCTCCATCTCTGTCCTCCCCCTCCCTCCATCATCAGTATCGTCCTCCCTCCTCCCTCCTCCATCCTCCCTCCGCCCTTTTCCCTTCCCCCTCCTCCCTCATTATCGGTGTGCTCCTCCCTCCTCCATCCTCCCTCCACCCTTCTCCCTTCCCCCTCCTCCCTCGTTATCGGTGTGCTCCTCCCTCCTCCATCCTCCCTCCGCCTCTCCCTTTCCCCCCCCTCCCTCAAAGTGTGCCCCTCCCTCCTCCATTCCCTCCCTCGTCGTCGTTATCCTTCTCTTTCTCCCTCCTTCACCATGCTTCTCTTCCTCCCTCACTAATCATATTGCTCCTCCACCCCCGCCCCTCATCCCTCCTCCCTCATCTCTCCTACTCCATCCTTCATCTTCTTTCCGCCAAAAAAAGAAAATTGAATCCGATCAACAGGAAGAACCCTCCCCATCGTTCTCCTCCTCCTCAATCCTTTGTCATCGATCTCCTCCTCCCTCCGTCGTTGTCCTCCCCCTCCCTCCTCCATCATCAGTGTCGTCCTCCATAGATATTCATTTCTTCTTGAAAGCTATTTGCCAGATTGAGTGCCTTGATTGGGTGGTCGCTGCTGAAATTTCAGGCCGGAATAGGATTATTTTTTTTTTGAGGGGGGGCTTGGGCCGGTTGGGGCACACCCCGAGGACAAGGGGTTATGGGAAAAAGAAGAAGTCCCCGGCTTTCTTTCGGAGGTTGAGGTAGAGGTTATGAGGGGACGTCTGGGGGTTGGACAGTGTTGAAGGCAGTTGGGGAGCACCCCGAAAATAGGGGTCGGGTAATGTTGAAGGTTGATATTTGGGGGGTTGGGCACTGTTGATCGCGGGTGTTTTTTGTGTTTTATCCTCATCTCACGGGCTCACTTTTGTTTTTTCTTTTTTTTGGGGGGGTAAGCGGGTCACGACGGGTTGGAGGGGGTACTCCAAGAGCGACAGAAGGGGCTGACTCCAGGGCTATTGCTGGACTGTATATGCGCAGGGAAAATGGCTCTCGTGAAGGTGTTGATTGGACAGCTCAAGAGGCACTTCAAAGACAATGGTCCGTTGAACCTGTTGAACGCGGGTACTTTTTTGTTTTATCATTATCTCACGGGCTCGCTTTTTTTTCTTTTTTTTTTCTTTTTTTTCTTTTTTTTTCTTTTTTTTTCTTTTTTTTTCTTTTTTTTTTCTTTTTTTTTCTTTTTTTTT